AAAAAAAAAAAATTAGTTCTTAAAAAGTTAAAAATATACCTGCCGTCCAACCCAGCCATTCCACACCAAGGTATTTACCCAGAAGAAATGATAGAAATGAAAGCAGATGTTCACAAAAAGACACTAATGTACATTATTATTTTCAGCAACTTTATTTTTTTTAAGTTTATTTATTTCGGGGCACCTGGGTGGCGCAGTCGGTTAAGCGTCCGACTTCAGCCAGGTCACGATCTCGCGGTCCGTGAGTTCGAGCCCCGCATCAGGCTCTGGGCTGATGGCTCAGAGCCTGGAGCCTGTTTCCGATTCTGTGTCTCCCTCTCTCTCTGCTCCTCCCCCGTTCATGCTCTGTCTCTCTCTGTCCCAAAAATAAAATAAACGTTGAAAAAAAAAATTTAAGTTTATTTATTTATTTGGAGAGAGAGAGAGTGTGTGAGCAGGGGAGGGGCAGAGAGAGAGAGAGAGAGAGAGAGAAAGAGAATCCCAAGTAGGCTCCACACTGTCAGTGCACAGCCCAATGTCGGGCTCAAACTCACAAACTGTTAGATCATGACTTGAGCCAAAACCAAGAATCAGACATTTTACTGAGCCACCCAAGCACCCTAGCAGCTTTATTCTTAATAGTTTAAAACTGGATGTAACCTAAAGTCCGTCAACAGATGAACAAAGTATTTGTGGTATACCCACACAGCCAACTACTGTTCAGTAATCAAAAGTAACCAACACTCTACAACATAAATAAATTTCAAAACCTTTATGTTGAGTGAAAGTAATCAAATCCAAAAGATGATAGACTCCATGGATTATGGTTCTATATATGAAGTTCTAGAACAGGCAGTACTAAGCTATGGTGATTATGTCAGTCAGAACAATGGTTGCTTCTGGTGGGAGTAGGATTGACCAGAAAGGGATTTAAAGAACCTTCTGTGATGATGGAAATGTTAAGTGTCTCGATTTAGACTATACACTTAAAATTTGTGTATTATATAGGGGTACCTGGGTGGCTCAGTTGGTTAAGTGTCCGACTTCAGCTCGGGTCATGATCTCGTGGTCCATGGGTTCAAGCCCCGTGTTGGGCTCTGTGCTGACAGCTCGGAGGCTGGAGCCTGCTTTGGATTCTGTGTCTCCCTCTCTCTCTCTGCCCTTTCCCTGCTCACACCCTCAAAAGTAAATAAACATTAAATTTGTGTATTATATATATTGTACTTAAGTTTTAAAAATCAGTGTTTGCCCCTTTAAAAGAATAGATCTCAAATGTTAGGATTTTAAATGCCCCATGGAAATATTTTTTGATCAAGGAACCTCATTTTCACTCATTATATCACCTTAATATATCATATATGTCATAATATATCAATTGTCCATGTTTATGGAGAAGCACTATTTGCAAATTATTATAACAATATTACAATATTGTAATTATACAGTGTTACAAAGTGAATACTTGTGGGACATAGATTAAGTGTCAGGCACCTTATATATGCTAACTTGTTGAATGCTCGTGAGAACCCTATGAAGTAGCTATCAGTATTATCCCATTGTGTTGCTGGGGACACTGAGTTGCAGAAAGGCGATTGCTTTGCCCAGGGTTGTCCAGGGAGAGCCAGAATCCTGGGTGAGGCAGTCTGGTTCCAGGACTCATGCTTTCAACCTCTGCTGTACTGAAACTGCTCACAGAAAGGAGAGCCTTGGTCCAATAGGAAAGGAGAAAATCCTTCTCTTTCCTGTTTTATACCATAGGCACATTCCAAAATGTATGTGTCAGCGAGGAAAAGGCATAGACAAAGATGTGATTTATTCCTAAATATGATACTGCAAATCATAAATTTTTAAATCCATAAACTTTAAAATATATTGAAACTATCTAAGGAAATACGTGTATATGTTTGTATGTTTGCTTGTTTGTTTAAACTCCTCTAAAATGGGAATTCAAACTAGCATCTTAAAAACCTGGTTGTTACTGCAAACATTTGTGAAATCTATTGATTTTTGCCATCCCTCCTACATTTCCAAGTGGTATGTTAAAGCCAGCCCCCTGCCCGAAGCTTCCACTGTTACCTCTCCTTTAAGGAACACCTGGGTGGCTCAGTTGGTTAAGCGTCCAACTTTGGCTCGGGTCATAATCTCATGGCTTGTGAGTTCGAGCCCCATGTTGGGCTCTGTGCTGACTGCTTGGAGCCTAGAGCCTGCTATGGATTCTGTGTCTCCCTCTCTCTCTGCCCGTTCCCTGCTCACACTCTGTCTCTGTCTCTGTCTCTCTCTCTCTCTCAAAAATAAACATTAAAAAAATAAGAATAAATATATATAGTAAATATATAATTAATATTTATAAATCTATATAGATATATATGTGTAGATATAAATCTTTGTTGAGTTATTAAACATGAAGGAAAATGATATTTTATAATTTTAGATATTTATCTCTATCATGTTTCTCGTAGCTGAAGGAATAAAATTAAGAGTCTCAAAAACGGTTTCCAATGGAACAGCTAAACCTGCTACTTCTGATAATTTTGTGAGTATAGTATATATTTAATAGAGTCTGTGTCACATTCATTGACCGTCAGGAAAACATTTTCTACCTTAGTATGAAAGCTTTTTGTATGAAAATCAGTTTTACCAATTAGTGATAGTAGTTAAGTCTGATGATTGTAACTACTGTAGATCTTTGCTTCTCAAGTGCTGTTCTTGGACCAGAAGCATGAGCGTCACCTGGGAACTTGCTAGAAATGTAGTCTCAGGCCCACCTCAGACCTACTGAATCTGAATCTACTTTTTAACAGGATCCCATAGATGACTCATATGTACATTAAAGATCGAGAAGCTTTGTTATAGTAGAAGCTTGTTAATTGTTCAGCATTTTGAAGTGATTTTTGAAGCCATTTCAGATAACATTTGGTATCTATTAGGAAAGGATTTTATGTGTTGCCTGTGTAGTTGACAAAATTAGCATTTTTTATATAAAGCTGGAAGCTTGAATAAAATGGTTAAATAGAGGGTAGAGATGAGTTTTTAAATATTTTATGCATATTAAGCAAAGTGGAAATGCCTCTCACAGTTTTCTATTCTGCTTTCTTATAATTGTATATGTTGTGATTAATAGAATATAAAAATTTATGTGTGCTTGTAAGTTCTGACAGAACAGATGATATATGAGAATAGGTTAATCTGTTCAGTAAATCTTTTCATTTTTTGTTAATAATTCTGTAAAATGTGTTCTTTGAGTAGTTTTATGGTGATTTAAACTTTAGAAAAATTACAACAGTTTTAATTATCTGGTGTTAGAGCTATTAAACTTCAAATTTTTAAAGATATTTTCCTTTTATTTTAGGGATATACAGTATATCCCACTTTATTTTAAAACTCAGTGCTTACCAAAACATCAAAGGAATACTTTTTCATTTCCCAAAATTAAGTGCAGTCAGCTCTTGATCAGAAGCCTTATCTCATGAGAATTGGGGTTCCTGTTAATACTGGCTCAGCTGCTTTGTCTGTCTAGGTGAGCAAGATGTAACTGACACTTGAGTATTCCATGTAGCCGGGTAGATCACAAAGAAACATTTTTATTTATTTTATAGTATAAATCAAAATATTCAGTATACCTTTTATTTTTCTTTGTCCCAATGAGATAACTATAAGCAAGCATCTATTAAAAAACAGATTCCCCAACTGACCTGTTTTCCTTCTCTTGTCTCCTGCAGAGAGATGAGTGTAAATACAAGCATAGAAATAAATAGGCTTTTGTAAAATTAGAGTATTTGCACTGTCATCTTTTTCGGTTGAAAAATTATAAACTCATGATATAAAAACTTGAACAAATTAGGAGGCATAATGAATGCTGGGAGCAAAAAACCAATACAAATCAATATTCTTGCTATTTTTCTCATTAATCGACTCTGTGTTTCTACTCTGTTTTTTCAGGGTAAAAAAAAAGCCAAAATCAACACCTGTGCATCTAATGTAAAGAAAACCAAGAAGTAAAAAATTCTGAAATCCAAGTTTTTGTTTGTTTGCCTGTTTAAGAGCATACTGGCATAATTTCTGTGTGGCATAAGTGCCAAGTTCTTAGGATATGTAGAAATGACAAGAATCATGCATTTGAATTTAAATGCTTACATTTTATATACATTATATTTTACAATTCTTTCAGGTCATACTAAGCAAATGCTGATATATAAATATTTATTTTTACAGGATGAAGATTTGAAGTGGGTGGAAGAAAATATTCCCTCTTCATTCACAGATGTGTAAATATCTTTTGTTAAAGTTTGAGTCTAAAATTTAGTATATCGTATAAAGAGATAACTTTCATGTTCCGTCATGTGCTTTTCGAACCTTGTACCTCCATATGTTTTGATAGGCCCCATCACTAGTGAATGACTAATGTCATGTCAGACTACAAGGAGAACACAGCCCTGCCTTGGTCTTTCCTTCTTCATTTTTCACTGTACAACAACCACGTGAATGCTTGTGGCCTATAACCAACTCCAGCCCTTTCTGATCTAAGTTTTTCAGGATTAGAATCACTTTATCTTGTTTCAACTTTCTATTATAAAAAAGTTAAAACATATGTAAAACTTTTTTTTTTTTTAAACACATGGAACCCCAATACCATGTATGGTGGGGAAGCTTTTGGAGGAAAAACATGAGCTTCGGCAAAGTATAGACCAAGCCCCTCGGGAACTTTGAGCTAATCAGGATCAGTGTTCTGTTTGACGCAATGTTCTGTTTGATAATGTGAAGGAAGAATTCCACGTAGCTGTTTCCACAACAGAAACCAGCAGGATTGGCAGAGAGGATAACATTTTCATATACTGTTCTTTCCTTTCCCTGCTCCCATTTACTTCCATGTAGACAGTTTCTGTTTAGTATGAAATTCTGTTTGCCTGTCTTAGGACAATTTGAACAGATTATCACTTTTCCTTATCTCTGATCAGCCATAGAGGACAGCTTAGCGGAGTTCACCTCCCTCTTCAGTGCACTGAATACATCTTACCAAGTTTTCAACAATCATTAACCTCACAGAGGAAGCATTTTTGAGATTGCTAGTGTTTACCTCCAAACAGTGCTGAGCATCCAACGACTGTCTTCTGGGTCTCTCAGGTTCTGGTTCAAGTTTCCCCGAAAGCAGTCCTCTCCCCTGGATTTTCCTTGATAGTAGTATTCCAGACAGTCTAACGTGGCCCCTTTCTCACACCTAGTTAGTCTCTTGCTTCTCTTTCTTCTGCCTTCACCATAGACTGCTCTGTAAGTGGCGTTCTCTGGAGTCTCACAGGGAGGGGACTTGCATGTGGTAGCTCTGGCGTATAGACTTTCCCTTCAGGCTCGCTCTCCGTGAGGGAGATCTACCACACGGTGGGGCTCTACTCTCGGCTTTTCTTTTTTATCTGTGTTTTCTTTCCCAAGCAAAGGCTGTATTGTAGAACTCTCTCTAGCACCCCCCACCCCCAGTAGACACCCCATCAGTGGTAATGATGGTATGGGAATTAAGCAAGTACTTGATTCCATAAATACCTTTCCTAATATGTTTCCGTGTCCCTCTATTTAAAAAAATTTGTAATCTTTATTTATTTTTGAGAGAGACAGACAGACAAGAATGAGAGCAGGGGAGGAACAGAGAAAGACAGAGACACAGACTCTGAAACAGGTTCCAGGCTCTGAGCTGTCAGCATAGAGCCTGACACAGTGCTTGAACTCAAGATCTGCAAGTTCATGACCTGAGCCAAAGTTGGATGTTTAACCGACTGATCCACCTAGGTGCCCCTCTCTTTATTTTATTTATTTATTTAGTTAGTTAGTTAGTTGGGTTTTTTTAATTTAATTTTTAATTTTTTTTTAATTTACGTCCAAATTAGTTAGCATATAGTACAACAGTGATTTCAGGAGTAGATTCCTCAGTGCCCCTTACCCATTTAGCCCATCCCCCCTCCCACAACCCCTCCAGTAAGCCTCTGTTTGTTCTCTGTATTTATGAGTCTCTTCTGTCTTGTCCCCTTCCTGTTTTTATATTATTTTTGTTTCCCATCCCTTATGTTCATCTGTTTTGTATCTTAAAGTCCTCTTAGGAGTGAAGTCTTATGATTTTTGTCTTTCTCTGACTGACTAATTTCACTTAGCATAATACCCTCCAGTTCCAGCCATGTAGTTGTAAATGGCAAGGTTTCATTCTTTTTTATTGCTGAGTAATACTCTATTGTGTATATATATATATATACCACATCTTCTTTATGCATTCATCTGTCAATGGACATTTGGGCTCTTTCCGTACTTTGGCTATTGTTGATAGTGCTGCCATAAACATGGGGGTGCATGTGTCCCTTCGAACAGCACACCTGTATCCCATGGATAAATGGCTAGTAGTGCAATTGCTGGGTCGTAGGATTCTGTTTGTTTTAATATACTGTATATATTTAAGGTGTACATGACGATTTGATATACATATGGACGCTGAAATGATTACTATAGTCAAGCTTATTCATCCCTCTTAAGTTCTCACAGGACAGAGCCTGATGCGGGGCTTGAACTCACGAACTGTGAGATCATGACCTAAGCAAAGTCAGATGCTTAACCGACTGAGCCACCCAGGTGCCCCTTAACTGAAATTTTTTGAAGTATAGCACACATTCTGGAAAGTACAGAATCCTAAGCTCAATAAATTTGCAATATGAACACACTCATGTAACTAGTACCCAGATAAAAAATAAATAAAACATCACTAGTGTCCTAAAAACCCCTTTATTTTCCTCCTAAATCACAATTCCACTTTTTGAAAGGTGCTGCTGTCCTGATGTCTGTAACTGTCAATTATTTGTGTCAGATTTAAAAAATTCATCCCTCAGTAATCCGTTCAGCTTCTTTGCTGTGTAGTATTCCATTGTGTGGATACACTACAGTTTACCCATTTGGTTGTTTTCAGGTTGGGGGCTATTAAGAACAGTATGAAAATTCCTCTTTGTGTGCGTTGGTGAGCTTCGGTGTTTACTTCTGTCAGCTGTGTCCATCCAGGAGTGAGAATTTACAGATCACAGGGATATGCCTGTACTCAGCCTTCATACATACACTAGCCTGTTAATAACATTGTTACCTGTTTTTGTTTCAGAGCTCTTCCAGTGTTAGTGGATTCAGATGAGGTAAAATACATTTTTTGCTTATTTTCTTGGTGCTGTTATTTTCACAAAGTAGAAATATATTTCAGAAAGAAATTCTGAAAGTTACTTTGTAAAACAATTACAAATCGAGCAGCCTGGAAGACTGCACTGATTTGTCAATGAAACCTAAAGGAGCTAGATCCTCATTTAAAACAGGAGCAAGATAAGCGCTTGTTGGTATAAAGGGAGGGAGAATTGTTTCATGAGATTTTGAGTCTGGGATTTTCTAACATCTTCTATGTGGGTAAAGAGTTTAGAATACTTTAAGGTGGCAGTTTGTCTAAATTAATTTCTTCTACTTGGGATATTTTGCTAAGGTATTAGAGTTTCTACTCATTCTCATTTACTAAGCAGGAAATTTGAATCGAGGTTGTGGATTTGGGAAGGTTTGGAGGAGAAAATTGGGTTCTAGATCGTCTGGACATTGAAGGGTGGCCCAAAACAGGAAGAAGTCTGAGTAGTAGGAATTAGAGGATGGATATTGAGAACTCTAACTTATGGGCAGGAACAGTAAGGGAGGAAGTTAGTGGTAACTGAGGTGTAATTCATGTGGTGGCTATAGAGCAGGAGAGCAGCTGCTGCTCTGTTCACTGAAGGGAAATGACTTTGGCCGTGGCACATTGATCTGGCAGTAGCGGGAAGTTTTGAGGGGGCTGCCGTAGACATGCACCTGGCTACAAAGCAATTGAACTTCAGGATTTAGAATTCTACAGAAAGAGACATGATGGAGAATTACTTTGTAAAGGGCACTTAGAGTAATCATTTGGTAAATAGTTGTATAATTTCAAAATACATGAACTGTGTAAAGCGAGGCGAATCCATCCGTGGATGAACCATGCCTGAGAAAAACACGTGAGCCCCATCTCTGCCTCTCACTGGTAACTCTGAACTTGAAACATTTTCCAGCTAGCAGGATGTTAAAGTTTTCCAAACTTGTCAACAGATATTGGCCAGACATCACTAGAAGTGTAGATTATCCATTGTTTATTTTCTAAATCTACTGTTTCTATGTATATCGTGAAATGTACGCAGTTCCCCACAAAATTGTGACTGTGAAAGATTAGAGAATTTTGTTATGTTCTGGAAGGAGCATCAACATTTGGAAGTATGTCATCTTTTTTTTTTTTTTTTTTTTAAAGGAAATCATGACCAGATCTGAAATGGCAGAAAAAATGTTCTCTTCAGAAAAGATAATGTGATTGGAACCCATATAAATGAAACCCAGTTAACGGTGAAGGACTTCCTCAAGACTGAAAGAGAGCTTTGTTTTGATCTAGTGCAACAAGTTTTTATTGCATTATCTTGGAAATCTATGTATTAAAATTAAGAATTCAGGTGGTAGGAGGGTTCTGCACCCCTTTTAAGCTACTTTAAATGTCAGCTTAATGTCCACCAAATTGCCTGGATTTGGAAATAATCTAAGAGAAGTATTATGATAAAGAAATATGCCCAAATGCTCTTAGCTAAAAGGAGGCAGGGATGTGGATTTGGGCTTTCTCTTTTCTCTGGAAAATATGACAATTCCAGATTTAAAAATATTTTTTACGTGAACACCTCTATTCTTCCACTCACTAACCTTTGAGGTAGAGGATGTGATTCTTCTGAAGTGTGGTAAAGCAGCATCTCCATCTCTTAGGTTTCTAGTTACTAGATGCAATAATAATGTTCTTTGACTTTTATATGGAAGTGATTTGATATCAAGTAAAACTTGATTAACCGTAGAACATAAGCATGTTTATAGGGTTAGTTTTGGTGTGTGTGTGTGTGTGTGTGTGTGTGTGTGTACACACATACGGGTCTGCACAAGGTCCTTGTTTGTAAATATCACCATGCACATCAAATCACAGAGGTAGGTCCTCTCTAAGCTCAGGGGAACAGAAGTACACAGGAATAAGGTCTTGAAGGTCACTTCCAAGGATTTGCCCTCCCACTATCCCCTCATTCAGGCCACGTGTTCACGTGCTGCTGCTGAATCTGTGTGGGGCAGTTGGTAGACACGTGGCCAGATGGGGAGCACTTTCTCCCCGGCAAGCTGGCAGATTCGTTACCAGTGAGCCTTATAGACCCTAGAACATCCTTTACATAATCTTGGTTTATTTGATTTTATAATAAAACATGTATTTGTCTGTACAGTACATCACTATTAATCTTGTAATTAATTTCTTGACCTTCGACCATGTTTTATACATCATTTTGTTACATATTATATATGTAATGTATGATTTGAAATTTTTTTGTTTTAATATTTTTTTTAATGCAGAACATTCTAAACTTGAAAGGTAGTTGAATGTAGTATGATGGAAATGTGAATGTTTTGCTGCTTTCATGACCAAAGATACAGGGCTTGTGGACATATAGGATAGGAATTAAAGTTAGAATTTTGCATATCTTTCTTTGAAGGAGTTCTAACCTTGGGAATTGAGAATGGCTTCAGAAGAGTTTGAGAAGCACTTAAAGTCTTAACCAGTACAAACACTTAAATATAACCTTTATTATTTTTTTCATTATGAAGCCACAAAATTGTCCTTTCAGAAGCCTACTTTTTCAATTTACTTCTCATTTATTCATTTCGTAGGGATTAGTAAGAAAGATCGCTAGTAGTAATATCTATTGAAAGATACTTTCAGATTTATTTTCCATAGGGAACACTGAACAGTTTGGGACATGCTTCCTAGGAAAAGAGTGGCTAACAGTGTGAGTTCCATTCCTTTTTTCTGTTTTTGACACGATAATGGGCCCCTACCTACTACATTTCCCAGCATTTGTGTCCATTCTGGTTTTGCTGTGTTTTACCCCGGGCCCAGTTGTTGCAGGGCTGGAGGCGACCCTGCCTTCTAGGTCCTGCTTTTATCTACCACTCCCAGAGTTAGAGGCAGACCCCCAACTCCTCAGCTCCAGGTGAATTTTGAAATGCAGAGTCCTGGGTTTCCAGCCAGTAGGAGCTCCAAATGTAGCGGAGCAGGAGTGGGGCATCGATGTGAAGTGTGTTAGTAAGGGAGACTGCCTCTGGCATAACCTCAGTAGTGCGTACGAAAACACTGCTTTCAGCTATAGGCTGAAATGCAAACTTTTTTCATCTTCTAGAGAAAGCAGGATTCCCTCCTGACAACCTTATCAGAAATGTTTTTCAAAGGGCATATTCTCTGTCACTTTCAGTGACAATTGTGGCACCAGTTGGTGTTTATAATGACCTGAATTGAGTATTCCTACAGAGGGCCCTCTTAGCCCCCCCAACCCCCGTAAACAGAAGGGGGTGTCCTCAGGCTACAGCTGTGGTTCGTACGAAGGGCACTGGGGAGAAGTTACAACCAGGGCCATCGTACAGCTCGTCACCCCGCTTCTGCAACAAGTGGTCAGGAACTGGTCCTCAAAGCTTTTGAGGCTATCAGACCAGTTTATTCTTGGGGAGCCAACCAGATGAAAGGATCTGAGGGTGAGTCCAGTTTTATGTGTTCCTAGACAAAATGCTTACGTGTTCTAATGCAACTCGTGTTAGATTTATACGATATGTGAAATCTGCGTCAAAGGGAATTTTCATGATTTGAGTTAGATTAGGATTTAATTATCTGCTTTAAAGGACAGTATATTTATTTCAAAAATAAGGAAAAATAAATGAATGTATGAATTTTTAAGCCTGAGAGATGATGTTCCCTTACTTTTCCTGTAAAGAAAATAATTTTTAAATCTTTCGTATCCTATAGAGAAAACCAACTTTTCCTCTGTGATACAGTACATTATGTTTGCACTACCATAATGTCAGGACTGAGAGTATGAAAAATGTACACATAAGACTGATTTTTGTATCTTCTTTTAAAAGGGGGTTTCAGGGGCGCCTGGGTGGCGCAGTCGGTTAAGCGTCCGGCTTCAGCCAGGTCACGATCTCGCGGTCTGTGAGTTCGAGCCCCGCGTCAGGCTCTGGGCTGACGGCTCGGAGCCTGGAGCCTGTTTCCGATTCTGTGTCTCCCTCTCTCTGCCCCTCCCCCGTTCATGCTCTGTCTCTCTCTGTCCCAAAAATAAATAAACGTTGAAAAAAAAAATTTTAAAAAAATAAAAAATAAAAAAATAAAAGGGGGTTTCAGGTGCCCAACTGGCTCAGTCAGTAAACATGCGGCTCTTTATCTTGGGGTCGTGAGTTCGAGCCCCACGATGGGGGCAGAGTTTCTTTTAAAAATAAATAAAAGGGGTTTGAGTCTATTGCACTAAGCTTTACAAGCTATACATGACTAACTTAAAGGGGAGAGCTGTTGTGCTAGATTTAAAACTCACTAGTTTTTTTGGTACTTGTGTCTCTGTATGGTCAACAGCGTGCACCGAGCAATAGAGCACACCAAGCCTTATACTTACAAAGAGAAGTTTAACATACTAGGTAAAGTTCTAAACATATCAAATGTATATAAGTGACAAAAATAGGATTTTAAGGAAATGTACAGTATATACAGAAGCTCAGTACTTCATTAAGAAACTAGGGAAACGTGTATTTGAGGAGAAAATTTAGGGGTTTGAAAAGTTATATTTTTCTATTTAAAAGGGTTAAATTATTGTATAATTTGGAAGAAGTTGCTTTGAATGTAGGACAAAACTGTTTCAAAGATTTTTGTTTTAAAAAGTTGATGTATTTTTGTGCCTTAATATTTGTTCTGACTTTTAATAAAATGCTTTCTGAAATTCTAGATGATTGATTCTAATATCTATTACTGCCAGATTATATATATAAATCTTCAGGAAATATAGACCCAAACAGATGGCAGGGCATAAACAAAGTCTTAAAAAAAGGAGATACAACTAATTAACAAACATGGAAAAGCATTCAGCCTCAGAAGTGATCAGAGAAATGCAAAGTGAAAGGGTAAATTTTTAAATTAACAAGTCTGTACTAATGTATTTATAAAACCTGTTTCAGCTTTCAAAGTCTGATGAACACACTCATTAATGATAGTAATGTAATTGATTCAGTCTTTGTGAAGAGAAGGGTATAACCTTTGAATGCTGCCGATTCTGGTGATATTTTTAAAAATTCAAATTATAGGGGTGCCTGGGTGGCTCAGTCAGTTGAGCATCCGACTTCGGCTCAGGTCATGATCTCACAATTCATTGAGTTCGAGCCCCACGTCGGGCTCTGTGCTGACAGTTCAGAGTCTGGAGCCCACTTTGGATTCTGTGTGTTCCTGTCTCTCTGCCCCCCTCCTGCTCACATTCTGTCTCTCAAAAATGAATAAAAAAATTTTTTTAATAAAAATAATAAAAATTCAAATTATAGAATAAGGCTTCTGCACAAAAATGTTTATTATAGCATTATTTTTTTATTCAACATTTCAGAAGGTTAAGACAAAAAGAAGTTTATTTCTTGGCCATGCAACATGGGCCTAGAGGTGGGCGGGGTAACCTTCCTCCACACATCCCCTCAGGGACCCAAAGTTTATTTCTGCCTTGTGAGCCCTCCAGCTCCTAGGGCCTGTCATCTGTATGCAGCCAGCAGGAAAAAGGACAGCCTGGGAAGTTTTGGGGGGGCGAAACCCAGAAGTGTTGCTCTCACTTTGGCGAACAGTCACATGGCCACACAAACTGCCTGCCCGCTACTCTGTGAAGGAGAGGATGGCTTTGGGTGGACAGCTGATGGCTTCTGCCACAGATTATTTGGGAGCAGTGGAGAGGGAAGACAAAAGCTGCCTATTTTCTAATGTAAACACATGGGGAGATATGTAAAAAACGGTGGTCCACAAGTAGGTTACACGATGTCAAAAAATCTAGAAGCAAGCATGGTCTCAGATCATAGCTTAATCCATTAATAAATAAAATCCATCCTGCCCCAAGTAAATGGAACATGGAGAATATTCTTGGAAATTCTCCCAGCCTTGGGGGCGGCCAAGATGAGTATTCCCCCCCAAGGAAAAGCAGGCCTGTTGTAATAACAGTGCTGACGGTTTAGGGAGGGCCGGGAATGCTCACGCAGTGGCAGTGGCGGGTTCTGTTAACCGTGTGGTCTCAGTAGCCATGAGGTAGGTCTAGCCAGTGAGTTTATAGAGGCGAAAACAGACTCAGCACGGCCAAATAACTTGCCCAAAGTCACCCTGCTCGCAAATGGAAAGCTAGTATTAACACTGGTGGGAAGCATCCTCGAAGGGTTTCCACAAAGTCCTGGGCAGGAAGGAGGTACATGTTTGCTTGTTAGGGGATTGAGGTCCGGAATCTAAAGTTCCTG